GAGAGAGAGAGAGAGCACAACAAAACAAATCCATATACATAATTTCTATGTCTCTCAACAAACACCATAGAACACATAAAGACCACAAACTCTGGTTATCGCCCTATCCATTTCACTTCCACTAACTGAATTATCCATCACTGGTACACATTAAAGATTCACACCGCATCTTGTCTAGAAGACTTTTTCTTTGTTTCTGATTTATACAGTTTCTGTGCAACACAATTGGCTGGGAACCCATTCTTCCTGTAATTCCAAGGATTTGGGAGCAATGTTCTGGTACTCCAAAGTTTAAGGGGCTACACACAATTTTGTGAAGTTCATAAGAAAAGAGAATCGGAAGTTTTTAGTAGAAAAGTTGGTAGGATTAGGATTTTTCTATGCTTACTCAATGGGGCCAAGTACCATTACCGAGCTTATGATGACTTCGAGGCCCATAAAAAACTTTGACGTGTTATTTGAAGAACAAGTATGGTGTTTAATTTCTATGCTTACTCAATGGGGCGAAGTACCATTATGGAGCTTATGATGACTTCCGAGCCCATGAAAATTTTGATGTAGTATTTGAAGAACAAGTACTGTGTTTAATGAATGCAAATTGACCATGTTGTAGCTAATGGTGTGAGCAAACCATCTCATAATTCATGACAACCTCCATGTCCTGTTAGAGCTTTGATGGGTTGTTTGAAGACCAGGGATGGTGCTTCGTGTATGGTCGGTCACCAAAACGTATCAGTGCTTTTGACAACCTCTGAGTCTTGCAGTAGCTTTAATGCAGTATCCGAAGATTTAGAATTAAATTTGCCTGCATTTGAATGCTCAACCTTATGCTATCAACTTCAAACATGTGTATGGCATGACGCATACCATAGTTACTGCGTTTACTGTTCTAATATCTCATTAGGACCTGAAGCAATTGTTCATCGGGCCCCAAGTTTGAACTGTATTAGCTCACGTGCCTACCTTTGCAAAACTTTTATGAAATCAATTGTAAGAGAATTTGGGGCATATCATTAGTTCAGGCTATCTCTCTTCTATAAGTAATCCTAATGTGCAACACAAATTATAGAAACTCTTCTTATCTAATCCTGGCCCGTTGGGCATAGGGGGCATCTTTAGGAATCCGGAGGGAGCCACCCTTCTCTCGTTCACCTACCCCATCAGAACCTCAGTCTCCACTACTGCGGAAGCCCGAGCTCTGCTAGAAGGCCTTAAAAATTTCAATCATTCTTGGAGCACAACTCTGGTGGTTGAAGGGGACTCAAGGAATGTAATTTCTTGTGCCTCTCGAGAGGCCACACCACCGTGGGCGCTTTTTCCCTTCTTTGATGAAATTTTCGCAATTTGCAGGCTTATGCAGGTCTCTTAGACTCATACTTGTAGGGAGGCCAACCAAGTAGCCGTCGCACTAGCTAAACAAGGAGCAGCTTCAAATGGGACCCAATGTTGTTAGGAATTTTGATTTGTGGTTCTAGTTTATGGACTTGTTCTTTTTTGTCTAGTTTCCTTTGTTTTTTGAATACTGGTGGGTGGTGTCCACCTCTTCATTGGGGTTTTGTATGTTGTATATCCTTTCCATTAATGCAATGTTAACAGTATAAAACAAAAAAATGTCTATGCTATTACAAAATTTTGTGGTGTTAATGGATAGGGAAAAATTTGGAACATAGTTGCAAAATCATCTGATATGTACGAAAGGAGGGAAAGTGTCAAGGTGGGGTATCCTCTAGTCTTATCACAAGCAAGCTGGAGTGAGATACACCTTCCTTAGCCAAGGGACATGATTAACATCTGTCGAACTATAATTTAAGGACAACAAAATGGGGAGCACAATTTTGCAATTGGTCAAGCCTCTAAGGACGGGGCAAGGCTCTGCTAGTCCATGTAATGGCATTTTGAGAATCACCTTCCTTGAGCAATTGTGAGCTCCAACTTCTGTAGACCAGTCTGGAGTGCAAGTTCTCAGTAAGAGGAGCATCTAGCATGGCCAATGGACCCTGAGACGGAGAGAAGGATGTTCCCAAGATGGTTTTTGAATCCCCTGCCAGTTCCTGCTGCCTCTAGATTACACAAAGATCAGCTGTTAAATTTTAGTTTGATTACTCCATGTACTTGTGGTATCCATACAACAAATCTCCCATTTCTTGGGCTGCTTACCAAGTCCAAGCTTGAGTAGCCAAAACACCATTTTTGGGCTAGAGCCTAAGCGATTACCATCAAATCCCCTTCTAGCATCATGCATGTGGGCTAAACCTCCTTGATGATGTAACAAAGCCAATATGAACCACAAGTCCTGGATGGGCTTCTGCTACTTTGGGGACTTAACTCTTGCCTAG